AACATCTTTGATTGAGTGATTACTAACAAAATGGGATTATTACAAATGGTGGGAAGGAGCAGCTCATATTCAAATGGGAGAGCTGAACGCTCTCCCTGGTTTCTCTCATCTGCCGCTCCCCCACTTCCCTCCCACATTCGACTGCAACCTTTATCCATACAAAAGCAACCAATAAAAAATCCAAAGTAAAGGAATAAGCATTCCTTTACAAACATCATCATGACCTTCCTTTTTCTTTTCAACAAACATAATCATTGTGTCTTTATTCATGATGATGTCCACCAAAATTTTCTTTGTTTAATTTACTAGCGAAAAGTGAATGCTAAGTTGGCCACTAATTTGGCCACTATCCAACATTTCACAAGTGCAATTTTTCATCACTAGTTATCTCCTTTATTTTATTGCAAAGGACTATGGTCTTGCCATAATGAACACCCCCATATTTCTTGTTACCATGAAAAGCAATCAGATTAAAGTGAATGTTATGAACCATCCTAATAGTTCTGAAAATGCCACCTATGTTCGCACTCTCAATCCACAGTAGAGGCTCATCAAGAATATCTAGATTATAAAGTTTTAGTTGCGCCTGTACGATGAAACAAAGCAAAAGATATTAATTTGAAAATAAAAGGTTTCCCAACTTGCAATACTCTAAAGCAAAAGATATTAATTTTGAACAACCTCCAATTGGAATGACTCCAAAATTCATTCGCTTAATCACTTTTTGTTGAGGAGGAAGTCGCATGTCCTACATTGGAAATATAAATCAAAATATCAAAATCTCACAAGAAAAAATACTAAAATATACTAAGAATATGGTAAAATATATAATATAAAATCGACTCATCATTAGCCTTAATTTATGTTTGAGTAAACTGTCGATTTAGTCTCACTAGCTGAGTGAAAATTGAGTTTCTTTTTTTTTTTTCAAAACAATAAGTCCTTTAATTCATTTAAAATTGAAAAGTTCATCTTACTATTAGATTCAAAGTTATTCTATCCAATTTTTTGTTAAATTAAGTAAAGTGACTTGCATGTGATACACTTTAGAGAGTGTTACCATCCTTGTTGTAGAATAGAATCCCACATCGGGCATGTGACAAAAAAATATACAATTAATATATGGGATATCCCACCCTTAACATCACTTAAGACCTTTTGTGATAAAAACCCAACATCTATTAATAAGTGGTGAAGTAGGAACAATATCTGTGAATTAGTGTGGACCATGATGGGACTTGAAAAAATTTCATGGTATCAGAGCAAGTTATTCTCTCGACATATCTTGGGCCTGAGTTACTAGGCTCAAATCTGCTTCCTTGAGTTGGAGTTTCAATGATATGCGATAGCTCCAACTTGTTGGAGCAGAAAAATTCAGATATTTTCAATTCTCCACCAAAAAGTAATCTTGAACATGTTGAGAAGCTTTAGACATCATCTTCGTTTGTCGTCAAGCAAAGGGACATGCTAGAAAACACTTTGACGCTCAAGTCAGTGTTTGTTCAGGATGCTTATAAAATATATATTGAGCGATCTCATACCTTTCTCCTCTCTTTTCGTTCTAGTGGGATTCTAAATCCTTTATAGGCATAAAATACTTGGCCTCCAAGTCCCACTTTCCTTCTATTTCTCCATGTTCCATCTTCCATGGAAGTGTTTGATCATGCCCCTTTATTCTAGCTCCACTCCCCAAAATTTAGGAAGTGGCTTATTGCTTGACCCTTAACTTTTGCACCCACAGTTGCCCTTTTTTTTTTCTCTACAAACACATATCATCTTAGTTTGTAGAGGAAAAATATTTTTTTTGGAAAAATTCATGCGACTTGAAATTTCATCTGAGTTCGGTCTTTGGCTACGATAATTTCTCCTTTGGGTTAAACTGCTCTTGGACTGGTTGAGACCGTCAAGTGGGTTGCGAGAGCGGATTGGGCCGCAGAAGTGGGCAGTGCCACGTTCGGGGCGCGTAGGCCTAGTGCGGCGCTGGAAGCGCATTAGATCTAGGTCGAGGGGATGGTCGTCGTAACTCGGGCCTGCAATGCATCTTGGGCATACACTGCTTGGGCAGCAATTTGGGCCTGCTAACGCCGAGCTTGGCTTGGCTACCCTGCGGCGTGGGTTACAGATTGGGTCGCCTACTGCGCTACTTGCGCAGCTGCTGCCAGCGATTGGGTCTGGGCTTAGTCCTGGGTTTAGGCTGCTGTAGTGGTAGCGCATAAGGCCATGGTCTGTTGCCATAGAGCTGGCACACTCCCTACTGCCACGATGGTCCCCATGGCAACCATGGTGGCAAAGTTGCTCTTCTTGCTACCACGTTGAGCCTTCTGGATCGTCGTGGTAGGGCTACGTCTCATCCTCCATCATTTGATGTGGATCTTTAAACGTAGGAAGTTTCGTTTGTCGTGGTTTCCAAATTTCCCGTCAATGTATTTTTCCCTTACCTCTATTCAAAGAATTAAAAAATTCTAGGAATAAGAAAGTATGAAAAAATTACGAACAAGCGAGAAATGAGAAACTTTGAATGCGAGAGTCTTCTTCGAGCGTGTGAATCAAGCTCTTATGAAAGCACCAATTTGTGGATGAAAGTTCTGCCATCTTCTCCTTTTGACGAAAATGCACCTGCAAAACAATAACACCTAAGATCAAGGCCAAGAGCCTCACTCGCCCACGATGAATGAAGGGGGCTTTGGCTGAAGAATCTCTTATGCCAAAGTTAGAATTTGAGAGAGAAAGTGTTTAGAGAATTTTTGGATGAGAATAAACTTGGGTTTTTGGAGAAATGTGAGGCTATATATAGGGGTGTGGCCGGTCCTATTTGGAGAAATAGGGACCGGCCACTTATGGTGGAATTTGGACTCTAACTGCAAGATATTATGTCAAATAATATCATGCAATTAATTTGGTAATTAATCTCAATTTGAAAAGAATAATCGGGAGTTACCTTGTGGGTGAGGATTTGATGAGGAATGATGAGAAGGTTTAGAATAAATACCATTTTGTTCACCTTTGACCTCGATTGAGCCGTTATTGTCCATTGTATGTGCGTGGGAATCTCGGTGTGCCTCAAGAGTAATTTTGTCTTTCTCACCCAAAAGCCTACGTGTCACCTTCATAATTTTTTTGATTATTTTTTGCTCCACAGTAAGCATTGCCATCGATCTGCACATTCAACAAATGCTAAAGAGAAATGCAATAAGTATGAGTTTTCTTTCTTATCTTGAGTGAAGTTATGGCTGCCCTTTCGGTGCAAACTATTCATCGTATAATCAACAAATGTCGAGCATCAAGCCAAGTTTTCCATTCTCTTCTCATCAGTGAAGGCTTGCAGTTCGTAGGCCTTATAGCATTTAGTTATTGAGCAACATGCAACCTTGAGGTTCTACTATTTGTTAGGCAACTTTGTTGCTGCGAAAATGAAAGTGCATTTCCTTTGTTAGAAGCCTTGACTGCACATTGCTTGACTATTTTTTAATCTTGTCCACTGCTTCCACTTTCTGTATTCCTTATCCTCTATTGGACAACATATAGATCAGCTTTCAATTTGCTCCATATAATTCTTGTCTTGTCACTAATTTGATATTCCATGACCAAAAACGAATACGGATCAACAACAAATTGATGTATAAGATTAGCATATGAATGACAATAATTTATCATGAATACGCAAGATTAGCAAATCAAGATGGGTGGATATCTTATCTATTCTACTCCTTCAAACCCAAGAAATGACAATGCAAAATTGCCATTACAAAAATTGTTGGCCCCATTCACAAGTCTTTTGGCACGTTAATCCAGTCGACCAAACCATCTAAGCCCCTCTTGATTTTCCATACGATTTTCCATACAAACTCCTAGGTATGCTGCAAAATGCTTTGGCTTTTGCTTTTCTCAGATTATATCAATGAACAACAATTACTTTAGATGCCCCAGGAGTTATTTAGGTCTGAACGTAGAAATAATTTTGGAGTTTAACTAACAAGGATAGAGATTCGTATCTGTTAGGCAATTTTGAGAGCAAGTCCATTTTCAGAAGCTATGAGTGCACGTCATACACATCGGTTTTCTATCTTGTCCAAAATCTTTATCTCAATCATCACCCTTCTGACAGTTATAATTCTACAGAAGCATACACGCCCCCTGCTCAAGTTCGAAGTGAACTTGGTGGGTAAGTGATGAGTCCATATTATACCATATATTTTAAGGAACTTAACGAAAAGCTCCCGGTACTGTTCAATTTAACAAAAAACCATATTTTACACTAAAAAGTATATCTTGGTACTATTTGTGGAGCTAAAAATAATCACAAGGCGACACGTGGATTTTGGATAAAAGAGGATAAAAATACCCTTGAGGCATACCAAGATTCCTACGCGCGAGCAGCGGACAATCATTCATCAATCAAGTCAAAAATGTCCAAAATAGGTAACCAATTCAAAGATATTCTCATCCATCCTCATCTTAGGTAATTATTTTATAACCTACATAACATCCCTTTTATTATGTTCATTAGCCAATTAATATATTTATTCCTAATCAATATATTAATTGCTAATTAAATCACCAAATAACACCCAAAATATACATAAAGGGTCAGCCACTCTTTCTCCAAAGAGGACCGGCCATGCCCTATATATTGGCTCCCATTTTCACCAAAACCTAGGTCCTCACTCTTGCTAAAATTCTCCAAAGCTCTCAAACAATTTTCTCTCAAAATTCGAACATTGACATCGGAGGTTCTTCGGCCAAAGCTCCCCCCCCAATTCATCGTGGGCGTGTGAGGCTCTTGGCCTTGACCTAAGGTGTTATTTGTTTTGTAGGTGCAATTTTGTCCAAGATCAAGGAGGAAGAAATTTGCATCCACAAATTGGTGCTTTCATTGAGAGTTGAGATCCATACTCGTAGAAGACTCTCGCATAAAAAAGTTTTTCTCTATTTTCTAGTCCATTTGAATATTTTTTATACGTTCTTATTATTAGAATTTTTTATTTGCAAAGGTTCTTTGATAAAACGTATAAGAAAAATATAATGGCTAGAAATTTAGAAAATTCCACAAGTGAAAATTCTAATACTCAAGAAATGGGACTGTGGCGATCCACGAGGCTAAATGTTGTCATAGGCGGAGTGGTACCACCACTACAAGGTTCCACCATGACCCAAGTCGTGCCATCCAAGCTTGCACGTGCCTGAGCCCAAGCCTCACATTCACATGCATCACGCACTGAGCAGCCTGCTCCCACCGAGCAACCCACTCCCGTGGCCCAGCCTACTCTCGCCGAGCAACCTGCTCTCGTGGCCCAGCCTGCTCCCGACGAGCAGCCCACTCCCGTGGCCCAGCCTGCTCCGGCCAAGCAGCCCAGTCTTACGACCCAGTCTGCTCCCATGGCTTTCCAAGCAGCCCAAGTCGGCCCAAGACTATCTCAACCATCTAGACCTACCATCGAGCCGGGGGCATTCTCACCATATTTTTTCACGGATTTGACATTTTCCAACTCAAATCTCGCGCCCGGAGTCTACCACCCTTCCACTGCTTAAGGAGGCACATTCCTTCCAAGCTCTTCCAATCCAAGTGGTGAACAACACTTGTCTCAACAAGTCATAGAGTTGACGAGTGCCCTAGCACAGCAGATGACTTTGGTGAACCAGCTCTTGCAGCGTACCAAGATGCAACGTGCCCTAGACAAGGTCTCCCGAAATAGGACAAGGGCAGACGAAGAACCTCTCCAGCAGCGTCCCGGCAAGCAACCACTTGACCAGCTACGAACCAAGCGTTCGGGCAGCGTACACTCCCGATTGGGCCCTCGAGATAACGTATACTCCCATCTTAGCGCGCGGAAGAGCGTGCACGCTCAAGACAAGACCTGTAAAACAACTGACAAGTTCGAACTCCATCAGATTTTCCCATGAGAAGTTGTTCAAGCCATCAGTAATACCGAAAGCCGAGAGGTCTCACATAGCAAACAACACTTCTTTTTTTTAAATTTGCCTTTTCCAAATCCAAATTTAGTTCATTCTACTTTCTGATCGATAAATTGTTTACCACGTTAAATAGTGTTGTTAAGCTTAAGCCAGTCTTTCAAATGAATTATAGCATAAAACTAGTAGGATTAATGAAACTTATACAGAGAAATTTGTTGTATTACAAACCGAAAATCTTTCTTATATTAACAATCTAACTTTTACTCTCGATTGTCAATCAAAGGAATTGGCGGAGGCATCAGACAAATAGAATCTACAGCATAACCAAGCAAAGGAAAAGACAAAAAGTACAAGAATACAGCATAAACCGCCATAAAGAAGCCTTCCTCTTTACGGATTCGAATAAAAATGCACAAATAATATGACCTTACATCGACAATGCGTCTTCAAATTTAACATAACTCTCCACAATGAAGATAAGAAAAGTAGGAAATACAATGAAATCAGACCGAAAACCACGAAGGAGATAAGGCAAGCTAATTTGAACTGACCTCCAATGGAGATATAAGGAACTCTATGAGCACCAGAAATGTAAAGAGCATACAAGGGCTTGGCCACCATGGGAAGGTTAGCAGAACGCTGCACAAGCAACAATGTGGAAGGATGCATTTGCAGATTGTGGGCCATGTGGAAGTTGAGAGCCAGCCATGGAAAACACCTGAAACCCTGCATCCAGTACCCAAATCCACATAGAAACAACATTTCCTGCCCACCCAGTTGGGGAAATCGAAAGCCACTCCTTTCCTCATGGTTGCTGCTTCTCCTGGATTTTCTGTAAATAACTTGAGTTGCTGGGTTTGGTAGGATTGGGTTTCTGATCTGGGTTTTGGTTTGGATGGGTCCTGCTGGTTTAGGCGGTGAAAACAAAGGATGGGGTTTCGGTGGAAAGGAGGTTGCTTTTATGGTGGGGGTTTGGCGGTGATTGACAGTGATGATATCCATGGATTTTCAGAAGAAATTGATGAATAAATCATGATAATTACTAATAATATTAATTGGGTACTTGAAAAATGTGAGAAGAACAAGGAAGAAATGGAATGATAGTTGCTATGATTGTATGGAGTTATGATTGAAACAACGATGGAAAGTAGAAGTGTGGTTGCCTATCATTATATATTGTTTCATAATTATGCTACTTTGTTAATGGAGAGATCTAGAAGACAGTTATGCATCACTCTAATCATTTTGCTTTGAACAATCTGTAAGATTTTGCCATGTGTGTAAGTTTGCCATATCATTTTATCTGTATTATATTAAATAAGAAATAAAATTATACATGTATTAGGAGGTATATCAAAATTGATTGGGAATAGAAATATGAGAGAGTGGTTTACGCCACTCACATAATGGGATGACAGTTTTCCTTAATAGGAGGAAACTGTCAATAGTTGGATATATATGGATTTGGTCTCTCCTCTCACTTTTACGTTCATTAAGAAGTTTTTCCTATTGAAACTGAACACCAATTGCCAGAGAGAAGGCTAATTCAAGAACCATTTACTATGAATTCATCAAGTAAGTTTTGTTTCTAGAGTCAATCATGTATTTGATTGTGATGTTAATTGTAGTTCCTTGTATTTAATTGGTTTAGATTCTTTATTTGAAAACACTTACATATGGTATCAGAACCACCAATTAAATCTTGAACTCAATTATTTTGACTTAAAGAATATAATGCTTGAAACGGTGCCGTTTGTCTTTTGGGTATAAAAGATTGAAACTCTTTCCGCTGCGTTCTTCTTCATTTCCGCTTCGAACATGGTGACTACTCAAAGTTTCAGTTCTGACTCTTTGATCATGTAAACTTGCTAAAAGTTGATTTGCTTTCTTTATCACAATTGTTGCTATAAAAAATCTTGATTCATCAAACTTCTCCAAAGTCGATTCGAATCGAGGTATGAACCCTAGAATTTATTAATTTGTTCTTTTTCTCAATTATTAGTCTGTTCTATAAAGGATTCAAACCTTATCTGACTGGGTTGGATTGAATTTTACCTTTTCTATTAAAAATTACCATTGTGATCGTTTAAACTGAGTTCGATTCGATTATAGTGTTAATGGTAAAGTTGTCTGATCTTGTTAGAATTCATTGGAGATCAAATGTGGTTAAATTGATCTGTCTAATGGCCTATCGTAATTCATTGTTAATTATATATTAACAATATCAATTTTGGCTTGATTTATTAACAATTATTCAATATACTACCAAAGTTGTTTAGTTGAGATTTTGCTCTTAAGAATCAATTTTGTCGGCCAATTGTAGTTTATGAACTGTAACAAGTAAAATTAGCTTCTAAAGAGCTTGTTTTTACTGAGATTAGTCATAAGCTAGTGTATAGTGAGAAATGGAAAACTTGGATTATGTATTGTTCTTCTTGCCTAAAGGTGTGGATTGACATAATTTCTGGTGCTTTATTCTTGGCTATGCAAATGTTTGAATGTTCATTTTAATATATAGAATGGTTTCTTGCCCAAAGGCGTAACCAGTTTCTATAGTTGAATATGTAGAAAGCTTGTTCAACTTTTTTGTCATACAACAACAACAACAACAACAAAGTCTTTTCCCACTAAGTGGGGTCGGCTATATGAATCCTAGAACGCCATTGCGCTCGGTTTTGTGTCATGTCCTCCGTTAGATCCAAGTACTCTAAGTCTTTTCTTAGAGTCTCTTCCAAAGTTTTCCTAGGTCTTCCTCTACCCCTTCGGCCCTGAACCTCTGTCCCGTAGTCACATCTTCGAACCGGAGCGTCATTCGGCCTTCTTTGCACATGTCCAAATCACCAGAGCCGATTTTCTCTCATCTTTCCTACAATTTCGACTACTCCTACTTTACCTCGGATATCCTCGTTCCCAATCTTATCCTTTCTCGTGTGCCCACACATCCCACGAAGCATCCTCATCTCCGCTACACCCATTTTGTGTACGTGTTGATGCTTCACCGTCCAACATTCTGTGTCATACAACATCGCTGGCCTTATTGCCGTCCTATAAAATTTTCCCTTGAGCTTCAGTGGCCTACGACGGTCACACAACACGCCGGATGCATTCTTACACTTCATCCATCCAGCTCGTATTCTATGGTTGAGATCTCCATCTAATTCTCCGTTCTCTTGCAAGATAGATCCTAGGTAGCGAAAACGGTCGCTTTTTGTGATCTTCGCTAGATTGCTCCGGTCATTAGCGTGGATAAGTATATAAATGGATAGAGATAGGAAAACAAACACAAGATGTACGTGGTTCACCCAGATTGGCTACGTCCACGGAATAGAAGAGTTCTCATTAATTGTGAAGGGTTTACACAAGTACATAGGTTCAAGCTCTCCTTTAGTGAGTACAAGTGAATGATTTAGTACAAATGACATTAGGAAATATTGTAGGAGAATGATCTCGTAATCACGAAACTTCTAAGTATCGGAGTGTGGTGTCGTCTTGACTTGCCTTATCTGTCTCATAGGTAGATGTGGCATCTTCTCTGGAAGTGCTCTTCCTCCATCCAGGGGTGGTATCTTTAACTGGTGGAGATGCACAAGGTAATGTATCAATTTCACTTGAAGCTTACTTGTAGTTTCAGGCTTGGTCAAGCGCGATACAAACCATGTAGTAGGAGTCCTCCAAGTCGCCGAGCTAGGGGGTCTGCTGAAAGAGGTGACAGACAAGGTAAGCAATCAGAGCTCCGACTGATTGTTCACCTTCTCCCCATCTTGCAGCAGCATGAAGGATAAAGAGAAGAAAAATGAGAAGAGATGATATGAGATACTTTTGCTTTTGAAGAAGTAACTTTCCACAGGCTTATTCTTGAACTGAGCTGGAGGGTTTTCTGGTTTCCTCCAGAGTATAAGGCCGACTGAAGAATTTGAGGGTCAAAACAAGTCCATCAAATCTAGAGTACGTTCCACCCTGCTGATATGGGATACTTTTGCTTTTGACAGAGTAATGGATGTATCGGCACGTGTGCTGTTACGCTTGTCTCCACATGCTTCCTTGTATCCTTCGCACTTGCCCTATCTGTTCCTCAAGCAGATGCGGAATCTTCCCTAGAAATATAAGATGTTGAAGATGAGTACTCGAGAGCAATGCCAGGTAAGTAATCAGGTAAGGGGTTCCAGGCAGTCAGTTCCTGGCTGGAAGCTTGATTCCAAGTGCTGACTGATTGCTCTCTTTCTCCTTGTCTTGCAGGTAAAAACAAGGCCAAAGGAAAAGACAGGGAAAAAGCATGATATGGGATACTCTTGCTTTTAACCCTGATGATATGAGATATTCTTGCTCTAGTATAGCTTGTTTGCAGAGGTATTATCGGGGGGAAGGAAAGCTGAATATTTCAAAAGGCTTCGTTGGGAGTGCCCTCTCAGATATGATGAAGGGTTGAGCATTTTTGCAGGTCTGCCTGTCTGTTGGGGATGGAGGTCGACATATATAGGAGTCTCCCTAAGAAGTAGTAATGCTATTCCTTTACCCTGCTTGGTCATAGCACGGTAGTGGGAGCTGCCAGTTTCACATGTTTTAACTTTGTCAGAGCACTTTGAAAAAGTGGTCTGTGGTATCTGGCTCTCGAGATTCTGAGAACGATGCCTCTTCGATTTTTGAGAAAGCAATCATGCTGGGGGTCTGGCTCTCGAGATTCGGAGAGCAGTGTCTCTTCGATTTTTGAGAAAGTAATCATGTTGAGAGTTTGGCTCTCGAGATTCGGATGGCGGTGCCTCTTCGATTTTGGAGCAAGCAATCTGTTGGGAGTGTTGTCTCGAATGTGAGTAAAGGTTGGACATGTTTGCTAGTCTACCTTGCCACGAAGCACAAAGGTTGACACACAGGGACTTTCCAATTATCCAGCAATGGTACTGTTCCTTTACCCTCTCTTCGATTTTGAGAAAGTAGTCATGTTGGGAGTCTGGCTCTCGAGATTCGGAGGACGGTGTCTCTTCGATTTTGGAGCAAGCAATCTTGTTGGGAGTGTTTTCTCGAATGTGAGTAAAGGTTGGGCATGTTTGCTAGTCTACCTTGCCACGAAGCACATAGGTTGACAAACAGGGACTTTCCAATTATCCAGCAGTGGTACTGTTCCTTTACCCTTGTGGGTAATAATATGGTAGCTAGACCTTCAAAATTTATGTGTCTAAACTTTGTTAGTGCTGTTTCTTTGCTATTCTTTTACCTTTCTTGGTCAGAGCGATGTAGTGGGAGTTGCAAGCTTCACGTGCTCAACTTTGGCAGAGAACTTTGGCAAAGTTATCTGTGGTACCCATGAGCTATTGTTGCGTGTGGGAAGTGGGTGATTGAACAGTAAGATTCATGTGCTTTCTACTTCACCAGAAGTCTTCGACAGAATTCCCATAATTTCTGCAAAGCTGAGTGTGTGTGTGACAGGTGCTGACAAGGCTAGAAAAGTAGGTGCCTCTTCGATTTCTGAGATCGGCCCTCGTGGTCTCTAAGCAGCCCAGCTTTTGAGAAAGCGAGCGCCTCTTCGATTGATTCGGAGAACGATGCCTCATCGATTTTTGAGAAAGCAATCATGCTGGGGGTCTGGCTCTCGAAGATTCGGGGAGCAGTGTCTCTTCGATTTTTGAGAAAGTAATCATGTTGGGAGTCTGGCTCTCGAGATTCGGAGGGCGGTGCCTCTTCGAATTTGGAGCAAGCAATCTTGTTGGGAGTATTTTCTCGAATGTGAGTAAAGGTTGGGCATGTTTGCTAGTCTACCTTGCCACGAAGCACAGAGGTTGACACACAGGGACTTTCCAATTATCCAGCAATGGTACTGTTCCTCTACCCTCTCTTCGATTTTTAAGAAAGTAGTCATGTTGGGAGTCTGGCTCTCGAGATTCGGAGGACGGTGCCTCTTCGATTTTGGAGCAAGCAATCTTATTGGGAGTGTTTTCTCGAATGTGAGTAAAGGTTGGGCATGTTTGCTAGTCTACCTTGCCACGAAGCACAGAGGTTGACACACAGGGACTTTCCAATTATCCAGCAGTGGTACTATTCCTTTACCCTTGTGGGTAATAATATGGTAGCTAGACCTTCAAAATTTATGGGTCTAAACTTTGTTAGTGCTGTTTCTTTGCTATTCTTTTACCCTTCTTGGTCAGAGCGATGTAGTGGGAGCTGCAAGCTTCACGTGCTCAACTTTGGCAGAGAACTTTGGCAAAG